TAAAGTCTTTTTCTTGTAAGAATTTGTTTTTGAAAAATGAGAAGTTGGTGCCTCGCAGTGTTCTGAAATTAAGTTTATCCTCGAGCCTGAAGATGGTCGGAGCCAACCTGATAATCAGGAAGAAATCTCAGTTCATTTGAAAGAAATTTGGTTTGGGTTCGATTCTTTTGATTCCTAGGTTTCAATATTCCGGAACCTAACCGTCCAGCACTAGTTTTAACTACCTCGCCTGAAGGGTTACTACGTAATGTATTTCCTTGAATTTCTTCCACGTGGCGTTGTCAATTGACAGCCGTGTCTAAAAAATCAGACTACAGGGCCAAATTTTTTCAGAAACACGTAAAAACCCTAATCTGAGAAAAGATTTTCTGGTTTCCCATGAACACGTACACACGGTACAACATCGTCGAGAACAAGACGTGTTTTAAACGCAGTGTATACCATATGGCCCTCATACTCTCAGGAAGTCAGGCAGCTGCATAATAGGGAAAGTTTTGGATTGGAACCCACTGGATAAGAGATCAAGGTGAAGACCGCGTGGAACCTGGAGAAAAATCACGGAAATCTATGTACAGAAAAGTGGGAAGGCATGGGATAATATCAAGAGGCTAGCCCAGGAGAGAAAGGTGGAAGGTGTTTGTCCGTGGCCTATGCTCTGGTGCAGGGTGAGAAAGGCAATGATGATTATACCATGGCCCCATCATAGATCTGCAGCATGCTCGGCCGTTCCTACACACCATCACTGCCTCAAAGTTTAAGAGACCAGGATAAAATTTGTAAACAAGGGTTTGCCATTAAAATAATACTAGATCTACTAACAATTCTTATTAAAGGGTGTTTCAGCTTCAGAACTTCATCCCCATTCTTTGGAAAACAATGGAAATAATTACACTATATTTATCTTGGAGTAACTATTAAAAGGAGAGGCGCGATTCGCGTAACGTGAAGCCGCTGCAGACGAAGGTCGGCCATGTTTGTGAGATTAGCTCAGTTCTCTCAGTTGTAAACTTAGTGTCGACCGAATGGCAGTTTGCGTAGCGTTCGGGTCCGGTGGGTCTCTCATTCAAAGGTCCCCTTTTCGAATCCGAGTAGTGACGTGACAATTTTGTTCTCTAAAATTCTACTTTCTCTTTCGTCTGCTTTCGTTTCCACTTTCTGCCCCTACCTCCTCAGGGCTCCGGACTCATTCTGCAGCCTTTCTACTGCTACTCCTTGGCTCCTTCTTACCTCTGTCTTTCAGCCACACCCCTGATCTTCTGGTAGGAAAGATCTACCCCTAGCCTTCTCGGACAAGGGCGAAAAAATCTCGGAGGTCGCGTATGCAAGTTGCGCAAATTGAAGGTCCCTTGGTGGTCTAAGATTGATAAGAGTAGGCTTCGGTCGCCACCCAGGCAAAATTCAAAATTTCCTACCAACTTAAAATGTTTAATGTGTCCCTCACACTCATATGACTTATGCAGTTGCGAGTGCCGTAAAACACTTAAAGGCCTACGAAAAATGTTTTTTTTTTAAATATCAGTCTCTGGCAATGGCACTGAACTTGATGACGAAGTGCCTTTTGATTTAGATCTAACCGTAAATGCATCTCACAGTAAAAACAGAATGAAAAAAGATTGCAGAAAATTCAGTTTGCCATGAGGATAACTGCACGTATGT